CTCTAGTAGGACAAGATAAACAGATAAATAATGGCTTTCAATTCAGATCCATATCAAACCCAGAATTTGCTGGAGCAAAAACCATCTTGGAAGACTTGAAACTTATAAAAGACTCACAGGCAGTTTACCGTTTAGACCTAGGAGGAGGGCACGCTTTTGTGAAGCAGTGACTGAAAACAGTTGACTTTATATACAATCTCCCAACCACTATACATGGGCCAGGAGGGCATTCAGGTTGGCTGAGATGCCCAGGAGAACCTCGGTCTCCAAACCTGGCCCGCTGCTATAGGGAGCTTCTCATAAGCTGCTGGATTTGGTTAAAATTGACCTGGTTACCTGGCAGGGCTGCGTAGGAAAGCTGACAAAGAGAAGACAGATGATATTTGCCCTTCCTCCTCCTGTTTGTACTGCTATATTTACCCATCTCTTGGAAAGAGTAACCAGAGACTTTGTACCATTATCTTAGTAAAAATTTCCAAAGTTTGGGCAACAGCACTGCCTGTATTGTGTGCTGTGACGCTCACGTACGCTGAAGGATCTAAACATGAGCTCGAGCCATTACAACTTAAGGTGCACACCTGTGCCCCCAAAGCCAGCTGCTTACAATTTCACAAATGGTGTTTGCATGATGTGCATGCAGGCCGGCAGGCACAGCTGAAAACGTTCGCACCAAGACCCACTATAGTGTCCTGATAAACTGGATTTGTTGGGAGGGCTTGCTTTCTGTAATGCGGACAGGACCTGTGGGGTGAGCCACTGGGCTGAGGTGGGGAGAGACTGGAGTTGGGAAATAGGATGCTCTCTCTCTCTAGAAAGACGAGAGAGACGAAGAGCTGCCAAATCTCCCCGCCGCCACGGGGCACTGGAGCCAGCAAGATACGTTTGTGAGCATCTCTTCCCAGCTCTGCATTCCGCGTTGTCTTGCTGGTGGCTTGAGATCATCCATGGTGGGAGTATTTACAGCAGAGAAACCAGCAAATGCTACTAATGAGAACTCTTTTGGAGATCTAGCTGTCGACATTTAGCAGCACACCACGGCCCTGCCTTCAGGCTCAGTGACCCCAAACCACACACCAAGTCTCATCTATCTGTCCACTGGTCCCAGGATGATCTTAATAAAACAAACCTGACGGTGTCACCCTCTGATTCCATGTTCTTTAAGATAAATTCCCTGCCCCTTGATGCGTCATTAAAGGCCCTTCCTCCTCTGACTCCTGCCCAACTTTTCGGTCACTTCTGCCCCTACCCCCAAATGCTGTTCCAATTCTGCCATCCTGAATGATATGACTCAAAAAATAGACATCGTGTTCCACATCTGGCCTAGGATCAAACTTCCTGCTGTGATAACGAGCAAAGCTAGCAAAGTGTATTTCTAAACAATCAGATGGGATCAAAGAATGACCAGGGCTTTGAAGAACTGCAGAGGCCCGGACAGGTGGAGGTCAGTACTGGGGCCTTTTGCCCTGGGAGGCATTTGGTTTCAAAAGCCCCAGCTGAGTTTTGGACAAACTTATGGGGTTGGACAGGGGACGGGAGAGGATAAAATTTGTATTTTACCTCCCACTGAGGAGAACGGGCCCTGATAAACACCCCAGGTCTGGCCTGGGACCTAAAGGACTAGGACTACCCAGAAATGGAGTAGCCTGCCTAGCTACTGATGCTCCATTGTGATCATCTCAAGCCTGCTGGGGGAAGGTCACTTGCAGCTGCAGCGCCCCCAGCCTCACCGCCCAGCAGAAGCAAAAGGGAATCACCTCTAGATAAATTCAATATTGTCCAGAGCCTCAAATGACCTCTACGGTTTTCAATGTACTACCGTGCCCAGCAGTTGATAGAAAGTAGCCAGGCACAGGCAAGACGACCTGTGCACCAGACAAAAGCAGACTCCAGAAGGACACCCAGCGGGGATTCAGATAATAAAGTGAGCAGGTGCAGCCTTTACAAGAACCGTGAATACCGCGTCCAAGGATTTAAAAGACACGACTGAAACTTTCGGCAGACACCACGCCAAAAAAAAAGGAAGCAGATGGAAATCCTAGAATCAAAAGAAGCAATTAGCTGAAATTGAGAAATAGCTGCATTTATTGAACACCTCCTATGTGGATGGAGCTCTAGAGGCACCAACAGGGGCCCAGGGCTTGGTCTCAGTAGAGCCTGTCGAGTGTCACTCCAAGGACATGGTTGTCCTATTTCCCTCTGAGTGGGCCTTATCATTTCTGCTGTCACCAGGGCAGGGCAGGGCTCAGCATGTAGAAGGCACTAGATGCAATTTGGTGCCTGCAGCTCGCAGGGAAAGTGCAAGGTGCTGACCGGGAAGGCAGGGTCCACGACGTGGTGTGGTCATTAAACTGAATTTGGGAACTGGAGTGAGGGGCTGAGCACCCGGAACCAAGAACAAGTTTCGTCAGAGATTTCCTGTGGGCAGAAATCATAGGGACACCAACTATTTTTGATAAGGCGGAACCAAGAGTGGAATTGTGGCCAGAAGCGTGAGGGGAGGGGGGGAGCCTCCGGTCCCCAGCTCATTTCCTCCCTCAGCCCAGACAGATGAGGGCCTCCCTCTCTGGAGTCCAGCCCGGTGTGCCAGGCAGGGTGGATGGGGTTAGGGGCATTGTGACTGACCTCTCCCACTTTACATGGGGTAAAGAAGCAGACGCAATAGCTTCCTATTGTGTAGTTCTTATGTGCCAGGGTCAGGGTTAAGTACACTGTGTGCAACATCTCAGTCCTCACAGAACCCGTGATAAGGCTTCAATTATTAGCCCTGTATAATGGATAATGAAACCGAGGCCAAGGGGCTGCGTGCCAACTCCTAGGTGACATGGGAGAGTGCAGCCCCAGGTCAGCCTAATGTCTCAGGCCGGCCCTAGGGACTCCCTCCTCTCTATCAGGAAAGGCCTGCCAAGCCACTTCTTGGGCACAGACCTGGCAAAGGTGGAGAAACCAGGGATCTGCCCTCCGGGAGAAATCTGTCTCTCTGAATTTGGGCTGGGGACAGGGGAGCATTTACCCAGGAGCCACAGTGTGGGTGGTACCTTGGCTTGGAAAGCTGTCTTGAGGGCAGGCAGGCAGGAAGGAGCCCCTCGGCCTCCCCTGAGCAAGTCATTCCCTCTCTTCAGTCTCCAAGGATGTTTATCAAGGGGTACTGAAGTAACATTGAGGGGGGCTTCAGAAGCAGCATTGAAAGACAAGTAGGAGAGAACTTATCACAGTGGGGGCTAGCTGCCTTCCATCTCAGCAGGGGTGGTGACCAGTTCAGGCCCCTGATGATTCGTAGATGTTCCAGAAATTATACCCCCAATTCAGCAAATGCTGCCGGTGGCAAATAATCAAGCAGGTTCTTACACATCACGTCCTCCAGCCAGCCCTCCCCAAACAAACAGAACTCCCCCTTGGCCCTCAAAGGTAGATATTCTTTCTTGCATGTGTTTCAAAGGTGAATGTCTCCCTCAAGGTCACTCACCTTGTGAGAACAGAGGGGACACATACAAGTCACTTTGTCCTTCAAAGTAATCCCCCAGGGAAGTGATACAGTTTTTGCAGAAATGTTCCATTTGCTCTGAAAGAAGAGCTCTTTAAAGATTTGAGAAATTCATTTGTAACCTTTATTAATTTTTTTAAATTGAGGTATAATTGCCATATAACATTATATTAAATTTGTTTAAATTGAGGTATCATGGACATATAACATTAAATTATATTTAATTGAGGTGTAATTCACATTATAACATTAGAGGTATACAACATAGTGATTCACCAATCACCTGTTTTATATACATAGTTATAAACGTATCTTTTTTCTTGTGATGACAACTTTTATGGTCTACTCTCTTAGCAACTTTCAACTATACAGTATAGACTTCCTCTTTGAAGGATTTTACCCTCATTTGGACACGGACCCTGATTTTTTGGTTAAAAATAAAGTCAGACTCATCAAGATCAGCTGTTGTAACAGGATGACCACTGGCTGGGAGTCTGAAGACCTGGATTCCTAGGCATACCTTTGCCATTTATGAGTGGTGTGGCCTTGGGCAGGTCCCTTTCCCTCTGTGGGTCTTTCTGAGTGTTCTTCAAGACAATGATAGGGTGGGATAGGACAACTGCCGAACTCCCATCCAGTTCTCCAATGGTATAATCTGTGCTTCTGCATTAGCACTGGGCGCTCTGATCATGTGAAGCCCTATCCATGCTTTCCCTATCCATAAATAGGAGTATGCCTACCTTTTTCCTAACTTCTAGAATGTAGGAAGGAAAGAAGTTAATGCTTATGAGTGCTCACTGCAGGCTAGAATTTCCCCTTCCTTCCCTCCCTCCCTCCCTCCCTTCCTTCCTTCCTTCTTCCCTCCCTCTTTCCACCCGTAAGGAAGACAGATCAATCCCACTCTGGGCACTGAGGCAGAGGGGGCAGAGGTAGAGGCCCAGAGAAGTGAAGCGACATGTTCCAGGTCACATGGGTAGCAAATGGCAAGTGGCAGAGGTGAAATCTGGATCCGTTTCTGTCCAAGGGCTGAGTTGGCCCCATTATCCCAAGACCATAACTTTAAAGATGTGGATAGTGTCTTATCGGAAGAGAGCTGGCTTCAAAGCACCTCTCAGGAAATTTACTCTATGGCAGGGGTCAGCAGACTTCAAGCCAAATGCAGCCACCACCTCTTTTTGTAAATAAAGTTGTATTGGAACATAATGGGCTTGTCATTTACAGATCACCTACTACTGTTTAAGCTACAATAGCTGAGTTGAGAAATCATGACAGAGACAAACCCTAAAATATTTACTGTCTGGTCCTTTACAGAATGTTTGTTAGTCCCTGGTCCAGAGTCCAGCAAGGCTGTCCATCCTTCAAAGAACACAAAGTGACATGTGACTGTCCTGTGTGCTCAAGAGCCCCGCCACTTGGCTTGTTAGGAAGGAGGACTTCTCTTCTTAAATCTATTTTTAAAAAGGTCAACAAACAGTCTCAGGATACCTGTCAGGCCGATGAGGGAGTTCAGTTTTCATCGTGCTCTTCCCAGGAACTCAGTGAAGGGAAAATAGAAATCTTAATTTTGGGGAAATTGCACAGGGGAAAAGGGGAGGGAATCAGTTACAACACCCCATTGCGACACTCAGCACAGTTGAAAGTGACAACAGCAAGAGTTTCTCATTTTGGAAATGTGAGGGCATTTCCGTTTCTCAGAGTAGGACAGGGCGGCTTGGGTGAGTGACTATTTTCTTTATAAGCGGCACCTCAGGGCCCGAAATGGCAGTGTCGTGTTGTCTCGCTGCGGCCGCAGAATGGAAACCGGCAGGTGTCCCCTCAGTTACCTGATCTCTTTCCTCCTTTTCCTGTTCCATTCAGAGACAGCCTGCCATCCCTTGGGGAAGAGACCTTGCAAGATGCAAGCCTTCAGGTAAGGCCAGCCCGGAGGAGGCGGGGTGGACGGACAGGTAAATGGAACCACCGCGGCCGTTGGGGGGGCCCGCTGGCCTCCGCAGCGCCTGCGGGCTGAGTTTGGGCTGGAAAAGGAGGTCCGTTATTCAGGAAAGGGGAGCCACATCCGTGGTCTTCAGGGCTTGTGTTTCAGAATATTTCAGATGGGCAGAACTTGGCCAGAGGCCTGGCTTATTCTCCCGGAGACTCTGGCAACTCAGTGAGTGACAGACAGGTGCCGAGGAGCCAGGCCAGGGCTCTTTGCTGGGCAAGGAAACCGGAGGGCCGCGTGGGCAGCGCACAGCCCGGAGGCCCAGACTGCCAGCCAGCATTGCAGGTCCGTGTGGACATGGTGGAGGCCCCCGCTCCTTTGCGGCCTCAGTTTCCCCATCTGTGACATGGGGTTAAGGATAACCCCCTGCCTGCCTTACTGGGTTGTTGTGAAGATCAAACAGTGCTTGAACACTACTGTGATTTTTAAAAATTGGGCCAGGAGTTTTGTGAGAGAGATGTCACCAACCCTGTTGTAAAATCGAGAGGCTGTGATGCTGTCCCCATGGGCCCTCTGTCCTGTGACATTGCAGGCCTGAGCCACGTCAGGGTGACTTCACCGTCAAACCGAGTTTCCCTGGCTTGAGGCTGCAGTTCGGGATTCTGTGCGTGTGCGTGTATGTGTGTGCGTGCGTGTACATGCGTCCTGGGCAAGTCGTTCCCCTTTCCAGACACGGGAACTGCTTCACGAGCTTTGCCTCTGCTTCTTCCTACTGGCTGGGAGCTCCAGGAGATGCACCTGGAGGTCTCTAGTAGGAGACTCATCCAGGAATGCAGAAGAATCTCGAAAGGTCAAATGCTCAACGTGTGCAAAGACCTTTACAGTTTGTCCAACCATCCCTCACTGAGCTCACGAGCTCCCCAAAGTGATGCCATGGGCGTTGGTAGCCACACTTCACTTGTGAAGAGATGAAGTGCATGTCCAAGGCCACATGGGTGGGCAGCGGGGCACAGAGGGCCCACGTTCTGGCTGGGCCTCTGCAAGCCCTGCTCTCAGCCCTTCACCAAGAGCTCGGCAGCCACATGCGGGCTGCTGGCTACCATACTGGGCCGTGCAGAGAGAGAACATTCCTGCCCCCGGCAAGTTTTATTGGATGATGCTACTCTAGAGTATGTTTTGCTGAAGTAGAAGGTGTCTGCTCTGGGAATCTGAGGATGAGAAGCAAGGTGAGGAGAGCGGTAGAATGTGGGTGCACTGCTTTCCAGCTGTGGGAGCTGGGCCGGCCTCTTAGTCGGTGTTGACCTCAGTCTCTCCTCCATGCCAAGGCTGGGCTAAAACACCACACCCCTGGCAGAAAGTTGAATGCAGATTCAGTGAACTCTGGGGGACACAGGAACGGGGGGAGCACAGGGCTGGGCACACAGAGGTTGTTCACCATAGCTGGGGCCTTTCACATTGCAGAATCTGGGATATTAACCAGAAGACCTTCTACCTGAGGAATAACCAACTCGTCGCTGGATACTTGCAAGGATCAAATACTAAATTGGAAGGTGAGTGGTTGCCAGAAAAGTGGATGTTGTGTGGGTACTGGGCCACTTTGCCCTGGAGTCTCCAGCTTGCCCTTGGAAAGCTTAGGTTCAAAGTCCTAATCCCCGCTGGGTCTTTGTGGTTGAGTTGGAAGCTGGGGGAGGCCTGGCCACATGTGAGGGCAGCCTCAAGAGGGTAAGAGGGTTAGAGCCTAGGTCTGGAGCCCCCACCTGCTGGCACCGTGTCCCGGGGCCACCACTGGCCGGGAGAGGGCACAGAAGGCAAGACGCTCCCTTTCCCTCCTGTGACTATGAAGCCTTCCGTGTTCCTATGTTGTTCAAACCCTAACTACCACCCAAAACGAATACACCATATCTAAGGCTGGGTTATGTCCCTTTGTCATGGACACCACATTCAGCCATGGTCTGGTCCTTGCTCTAAACAAGCTGCACGACCTTGGGCAGGCTTCTCCCACTCCATCGCTCAGTTTTTCCTTTAGTAAACCGAGGCCGGCCTGATGGCATGCTGGGAGAGTCTTTCAGCACGAGCCTCCTGGGATGTTTCTGATTACCCAATTGGTACTATGGGATGGCACGATCTCCATCTTCCCACCTTGTTCTCAGCCCCTCGCCTTGCCCTGAAAGAGTGTGAGACCAGCCTTTCCTGTCCTTCTGTTAATTCTCCTAGTGAACAAGCTGAAGTGCAGAAAGGCTGAGCTTTTCACTGCCACGTGAGGGCTCAGAGACGACCAAGGGACAGGGTCAGAGTCACCCAGGTGCCTGTAGACCAAGCCCCGGGGCCCACTGTGTGCTATTTCCCTGCCTGTGGGCAGCACCCCCGGGGACCTGGAGCACAGGTGTCCTGGGGAGAAGGAAGGATAGGGACCACGCGGAGCAGAATCTAGGCGACACGGTGCTTGAGGGGTAACTCGATAACTCCTTGGTGTGATCTTCCATTTGAATGAGGACCAGGAAGATGGGGCCTCACTGCCCTTCTGACCTTCGGGTTTTACTTCGGGTGGGGATGGGATGGGGAGACAGAAAAATCTCCTGCGAGAGTCCGGGCTGCCTCCTCCTCTCTCTACAACCTGACCCTGCCTTCTGCTCTTCCCCAGAGAAGTTAGACGTGGTGCCCATTGAGCCTCATGCCGTGTTCCTGGGGATCCATGGGGCGAAGCTGTGCCTGGCCTGCGTCAAGTCCGGTGATGAGACCAAGCTCCAGCTGGAGGTAAGGGCCCGCCTCCGATGGCAGCCACCCCAAAGCCGGCGGCCGGGACAACCGCAGTCGGTCCCTTCCTGGGGCGCTGTGGGTCAAAGAGGCAGGCGCAGCTGGGCAGTTGTGCTCCACTCGGCATAGCAGCGGCAGCAGCGGGGAGCTCTGCTGGGGGGGGCCACGGTGGCTTCTCACCCGCCCCTTGCTCCACGTGCTCTCTCAGAGCTCTGCGGTCAGCGTGGGCCTCCTGACAGCGCGGGTGCTGCCTTCCGACACGGATTATGCCACAGAGGCGAGGCTCCGTGGGCAGAGGCCCATCAAAGCCCCGCTTACGTCGTACGGCTCACGTCCCATGGGCCGAAGCCGGCCGTGTGGCCAAGTCCAGTCTCGAGAAGGGCGGGGGCCGGGAAGGACGGTTCCTTTGAGGGCTTCATTCTCTGTGTGCCACTCTCTGGCCCGACGGCTCCCGACCTTCTTAGACTCGCCCTCCTCCAGGGAAGCCAAGCTTCAGGACCTTTCTCTCCTAATCCTTATCTACTCAGACCCACGGGTTGGCATCCCATCCAGGGCCCTGTACTCCTTGATCCCCGCAGTATGAACGGGCTGCCAGCCCTGGGAGGAGATGGCTTTGTCTCAGGGGCTTGTTGGTCAGGATCTTAACCCAGTGTGAGTGGCTGTAACCAGGGCTCCGTCCCTTACCCCCAGCCGTGGACAGGGGCATTCTTTGGGAGGGTGACTACTCTGTGTGGAGTGGGGATGACCAGGACGTTGTGTGTACCATGTCGAATGCACTGCAGTGATCTCTGCCCACCTTCTCCACCATGCCCTCTTGCCTGAGAGGGCACAGGCCCCGACAGAGCGCCAGCCTCCACGTGCGTTGGCCTCTGCGGCTGATGCCACGTGTCTACCAAACTTACTGGCCCATGGCTAGAGGGGCCAGATTTCCCAAAGTCAAGGTGTGACCGTGGGACGGCCTCTTTGTGTCACTGTTGTCTTAGGAGAGCCGGGATGCGTGGCCTGCCGCAGGGGTCCCCGGTCAGAGTTTCCCCAGTGTTTGTTCTGGGCCGGCCGGAGGCCAAGTCCTGGTTGGGAGAGGGAGGCAGCATGGGACCTATGGGCTTCCCAGCCCTCACTGCTCATGTCTTGGCTTCCAGGCAGTTAACATCACTGACCTGAGTAAGCACAAGGATCAAGACAAGCGCTTCTCCTTCATCCTCTCGGATAGCGGGCCCACCACCAGCTTCGAGTCCGCCGCCTGCCCCGGCTGGTTCCTCTGCACAGCACTCGAGGCCGACCAGCCCGTCAGCCTCACCAACACGCCCCAAGAGGCCATGACGGTCACCAAGTTCTACTTCCAGAAGGACTAGTGGTGGGTCCATGCCGCACGTCCCCCATGCCCAGCACACCGATGACCCCAGAGACGCCTCTCCACCCTGCCCGGGGCCTCCTGGCTGTCGTGGGGGCTCAGAGGAGCAGCCTTGGTGGGGCAGACCTCGGAAGGATGGCCGAGAGCCCCGGTAACAGGACTCTGTCACCAGCCTCCTCAGCTAAGCAACCTCGACGCTGCCTCCACGGTGGTCTTTCTATCGTGCAGCTCAAGCCACCGCACTGCCCCAGGCCTTTCAGCGCTGCCCGTGATGCCAGCTTTCTGGATGAAAGGCAGGCCGCTCGGCCCGCCTGGGCCCCCTCTGCTCTCCTCTCCCTGACTCCTCAGCCTCCTCCCTCGCCCCGTGGCCGCGTCCCAGATCCCTCACGCCCCTCGCTGGCCTCCCAAACCTTGTTTTGCCAACTGATGCCGTTCTGTGGGGAAAACTTTTAGAGTCTGTGCCACAATGGAAGAGAAGGATTTCCTTTCTCTTTTAAGCCAGCTTCATCCAATTTGAAGGCGAGTCCTTTCTTTAGAGACTGTGTCCTTTCTGGAAAGGGGGCGAGGGAGGGTGGAAGGAGCTCTCCCTTTTGATTTCCCTCTCTTCTTTTTGTAACGCCCTACCGTGCAAAAATGCGAAGTTAGTGTGTTATGTTGGTCCCTAGTTTTTTTTTCTTTCTGTGACGTTCCTAAAGTCTGGCCCCCACTGCTCAGGCCGGGCACCATTTCCACTCCAGACCTCGTACAGTGCCCGCCGCGCTTTTCCTCCCCCAGCTCCCCCATCAGAAGCTCCCAGCTCCCAGGGCAGCACAACTGCGGCTCCCCTGGGGCTCCTTGCAGGTTTCCTGGGAGGGAGGAATGGCTCTTGGACCGTTTTAGCCCTTCGGACACTCTGAGACTTGTGCCTCCGCCCGTGTCCCGCCGCAGACGGAGCTCCCGAGAGCAGGGAGCGTGATGACCCGTGTGTGTTTCGGACCCTCAGCACGTGCTCCGTGAACGTGTGTTCTGTGTGTTGAGCAGAAAGGTTCCTACTCCCTGTGACTGAAGCTGTTTTACAATAAAATCTTGAAAACTCATCTACTTTGCTGGTTGTGTCTCTGGCCTCGCCAGGCTTGGCGCATAGAGAGCTTGGGAAACGGGGAGGCCAACGGGCCTTTCTCACCCCGGGGACTGGGCCTGGCTGCCTCTCTTCTGAGAGTCCTTTCCTCCTCGGGCCTCACTGTCTCTGGTCCACGAGAGTGAATCTCCCTGCCAGGAAGGTGGGTAGCGCCACTGTCCAACTAGCCGCCAATAGCAAACAATCCAAACACCCATCACAGAGGAACGAACACAGACATCAGGTGCGTGCATACAACGCAATGGTCGGCAGCAAAGAGAGTGGATGGACTGCGGTCGGCCGCTCTCCACAAAACAGATGCATCTTACCCACATGATGTGGGGAGCAAGAATGACAGAAGCCCGCACAGAGCGTGAGTCCATGCACATAAAGCTAAAAGAGGCAAAACCGAGCCGTTGCGGGGAGGGACGTATAGACAGGTGGTGCAAACACACGGAGAAGCAGGGACGGGCAGTGTCTGAAAGTGGGGCTGCTGGGTGACTCCTGCGAGACAGAGGGTCAGGCTGGAGCCCCCGGAGGCTTTTAGGACCCAGGCGACACTCTAATTCTTGACATGTTTGTGGTTAGGCGGTTTGCTGGGTGTATATTTCACAATTTCGAAGTCGAAAAAAATGAAAAGCCTTGCCCCTGGGGTGTGAGCAAAGGGGGCACTGGGAAATAATGAGATCACCAGGTGGAATATTGAGTTTGGCCCCGTGAGATGGGAGTGCAAGACCGTCCTCAGACAGTTCGGCTACCAGGCAGAACTCCTGCCCGCCTTCTGCTGACTTCTGCCCTTGGTCTCTGGAGCCCTCGAGTCGGGCCCGACTGGGTGGCCTCCCTCCTTGGGGCCTGCTGCTCACTTATTCCCAGAGGGAGCTGACTGAGACGGGGTTTGCCAATAGCGCTCTTGGCACTTGTCTCCAAGGCCCGGGAAACAGAACCCAACAAAGCTAGGCCGCAAGGCTGGGCTGCACGTCTCGAACCCGGCTCCGGCCGGGCCTTCTGCTCCTCTCCGCTTCACAAACTAGACGTCACGCACCGCCTTGCTGGAAGAGGAGATTTCATCGCTAAAAACGAGTTCAACAGGTTAAAAGATAACCGACTGGAGAAAATCTTTAAGATCTCTAGATCTCGACTCCAGAGGGGGCCACCTTTGGGTCAGCTTTCTCTTCCTCGTATGGAAGATGGAAGTCGTCACACCTGCTCCCTGGCGACGGCCTGGGGATAAAATGAGCCGGTATGGGCTCATTGTGTGTCAGGGAAGGGTGCATGTGGCTGATAGATTTTTAGTCCTGGTAAAGGGGGAAGTTCAGGGCCGAAAACCCTTCAAGGCTTAATGGTAATAACAGCAGCAACGCTTGTGGGTCTGGCTCTTCAGCCATCCTGCCTCCTCTGACAAAAGAGAAACCTGAGGCTCAGACCCTTCATGTGATTAGATCAAGCAGCCGGGTGTAGGTAAGTAACAGGTGAGGGAGTGGACAGTCATGCACAGGAGCTCTAGAATGTTCTGGCTCTCCTGCTTGCAAAGTGCACTCACGGACAATGAGTTAATATCTTGCAGGCTCCGTTTCGTCATCTCTAAACGCAGGTAATGGCTAGTGCACTTGGCTGACTTACTCGAGCTCTGCAATATCACCGCGGTAGTATTGGTGCTGGTATTTGTTTTGGAAGACGCAGTGCTCAAGGGAATCTGCTTTAAAGCCTTGCCGCTCAAAGTGCGGTACCCAGAGCAGCAGTGGTGGTGGCAGCATTTGGGAGTTAGAAGGCAGAGTCCCAGGCCTTGGGCCAGACTTCCTAACTCAGGATCTTCATCTCCAGCAGGTCTCCAGGCGATTCAATGCAGGTTCGAGTTTAAGATAAAGGTCTGCTTCAAAGTGCAGTGCTCATGCGGTCTACAAACTCAGGCATATTTGTTAAACTGACTCTCATAATTACAAACCAAACTCATGTCCTCAACAGTACTCCCGCGAGCTCACTGACGATACCCCAAACTCCCAAGACCTCCTTAGTCTGGCTTAAAGTGTTCTTTAAGAGAGGAAAAGCTTTAGGGGCCCCTGAGTGGCTCAGTCAATTAAGTCTGACTCTTGGCTTCTGCTCAGGTCATGATCTCAGGGTCCTGAGATCGAGCCCTGTGTCGGGCTCTGCGATCAGCGGGGAGTCTGCTTGTCCCTCTCCCTCTGCTCCTCCCTCTGCTCACTCTCTCTCATTAATAAATAAAATCTTAAAAAGAGAGAGAGAGAGAGAAGGAAAGCTCTAAGCCTTTTCTGTCCTGCTAGAACATCAGCAGCTCCACACACGTAGGGATTTTGATCTGTTTTGTTCTCTGATGTATCCCAAGTACCTAGATCAACACTTGGAATGTACAGGGTGGTCAATCAATATTGGATGAAGAAGTGAATTGGCCATTGATATATCAGTAGGAACTAATGTATTACATGGGTCAGAAAATTTGGGAAGACAGGGAACTTAGGCCAGGGAAGTTCTGAAAGGGGCCTACAAGAAGGGAAAAGCCCAGGGCGCTGCACGTCGCAGAGATTTTGGAGCTCATCGAGGAAAAAGAACTGGCCACAAGGTGGCAGTAACGCACCCGCGCTTTACTGGCCAGCGCCTTGACAGGTGCGCTCCCTCACATCAGAAGTCTGTCCAGAGGCGACTCAGTAGGGAGTTGCTACTCAGGAGGAGAGGGGGGCATGGGGACTCGGGGGAGAGGGGACTCGTGTCTAGGTGATGTCACTCAGCCGCACAGTGGGGAGTTTCTGGGTCAGAGAGCTCCAAAGCACAGCGGCAGCTTGGGGTCTTTATGGCCTGGGGCTTATCCACGGCTAGCAGATGTTGGGAACAGTTTCGTGGGGTATGCAAAGCAGGCCGGCTCTAAATGGCTAAAAATCTGCTTATCTGGGTGATGTTTAAAGCAATTGGCTGTGGAGACATTTGAGTTTGGCCTCAGGTGGGCTTTGGAGCTAGCCCGTCTCAGTCTGCTGTGAACAAATCAACCGCCTAGGGCCCAGTATGCAGAGGCCACCTTTGGCTCATTTACATAACACGAGGCTGGGGGGTGGCTCAGGACAGGCAGGCCTGGGCAGCACGTGAAAGTGACAATTTTGTGCGAATAGGAGGCAGTGAGGGTGACTGGGAGGTGGGAGGCTCAGCTGGGAGAGCAAAGCTCAGGGAGGGAAGGTGAGCAAGCTTCGGAGAGGAATGTGGCCTTTTCTGTCACTTGGAGGACTGACTGCGCTGTCAGACCACAGGATCATGGAAGAGCTCATTTGAAACTTCGAAACTGAAAGTACAGGGCTCCAGTCTTTCAGGCTTTCACAGTCTAGTCAGAATTTCCCTGCTAACTAGCTGGGTGACCTCGGCCAAGCGCCATCTCCTCTCTGGGCCGCGGTGTTCTCGCTTACGCAAGGAGGGGGTGTGACTAGGCCCGTGGTTCTCATTCGGCTCACCTGTGGAGCTTTGTAAAAACTGATGGCGGGCGCCTGGGTGGCTCAGTTGTTAAGCGTCTGCCTTCGGCTCAGGTCATGATCCCAGGGTCCTGGGGTCGAGCCCCGCATCTGGCTCCCTGCTTGCTCAGCGGGGAGAATGATTCGCCCTCTGACCCTCCCCCCTCTCATGCTCTCTCTCTCTATCTCATTCTCTCTCTCAAATAAATAAATAAAATCTTTAAAAAAAATAAAAAATAAAAAAAATAAAACTGAGCTAGTTAAAGGTGGCTGAGGCTCACCATATGGCTGCAGGCTCTACCATGATCTATTGTCCAGTTCCCAGTTGTGGGTGCTCAGGTTGTGAGCATTTTTGCCGCTAGAACAACTCCATGCTCCCGGACTTCAGCAGATGCTGGTGAGCATCTGTTGGGTGCCAAGGGGGTTTGGAGACTGAGGGGAATGGCTGGAATCCTACCCGCTGCTTCCCTAAGGAGGGCAGACCCAGGACGAGGGGCTGCAGGGAAGGTGCCCATCTACAAACGCGCGGAGTTGGGAGGGAGCGGAGAAGGGGAGCCTTGGCAGACAGAGTCTGGGGTCCAGGGAGCTGTGGCCTGGGCATCTGTGCCTACCACGGAATTGGGCAGCCAAGTCCAAGAGGTAGAAGCTTGTCATCCACTGTTGTCGTACTTCCTGCCCCGCTCCAGGAAACCAGGGCCCGCACTGGGGCCCGCCTAGGTGTTGGGTGGTTGGTGGTGGTTTTACTGCTGGACTGGGCTCCCTTTCCCCGTGGCCCTGCCTCTGAGAGACTTCTCCCTCCCATTCTAGGACTATAGGCATTAGCGAGGGAAGCCCTCACCACCCCCCCACACCCCTCCCGGCCCCCAGCTCTGGGCTCAGATCCCCAGGGGGCCCAGAGTCACGTGGGCCAGTGCAATAACCATCTAACCTGGCAGAGGAATGTTTAGGGAGGCAGGTGTCCTCCTGACTGTCCTGCCTGAGGCCCCAGGCGTGTGGAGGCTGGAGAGCTGGGAGGGAATAGGGCCTTTGCTGGAGGAAGGAGCGCGTGGCCGCCTTCCCCCCAGGCCTCCCTAAAGGACAGAAGTTTGTCCTTCAGGCACACAGGAGGGCACTGGGTGCTTCTGGCTTCGGCTCTCACGCTGCCCAATCGCTGGTGTCCCCGCAAGGACGGTAGTGAGCTTCTAGAAGCTTCAAATTGGGAGAGAGGCTGCCAGTAGTGCTGCTCGCTTGGAGAGAAGGCCTGCTCCTTCCCATCAGCAGTATGCAGGTGCAGCGGGGTAGAGAAGAAAGTGGATTCGCTTGGGTTTGGCAGTCCTGGGTTCAAATGCAGCCAGAGTGACCGCTCAGACCCTCCGTCTCCCCATCTGTTCGGCAGCATGAGGGTAATATCGCCCCATTCCCACCCCAGCCTCATGGGCTGGACATGCTGCTTGTCAAGGGCCCGGTGAATGTCAGCACACGGGGGCCCGCGGTGACCGGCAGGGGCAAGTCAGGTGCCCTTCCCTTCCCTGCCGCCCCCCCCACCTCTCATGCC